TTATAATATTTTAAGTTGACAAATTTCATGACAAATTTTATATTAGAAACAATTTTTTAAAAATATTGGATATATCATGCTAATAATAATAACAAAAGAGAAAACTCTTCGAATTAAGAAAAATTTGAAAATATGAAAGATCCATGAAACGTATATATCTTTTAATTAATAATAATATCACGACACTTATTTTAAATATGATTTTAATATTTGTATACAAAAGTTCCATTTGCAAAAAACAAATATTTTACACGTAATCTACAATTGTTTATTACTTAAACAAACAATTCTTCATATTCAATGTTTAAACATCTCGATGAAATAATTCGTTAAAAAAGCGTATGGGATTGAAATTTTCTTCGATTCTACATTTTACTTAATATTATTATTATACAGAGAATAAAAATCAATCCTCGTTTCGAAATCATTTACACGATGCTCTACGAAGAATATTTCAGAATGTGTGCCACGATAAAATAAACGAAGAAAAATTTCAAAATATCCATCTCGATACCGAATTGAACACGTGAGAAATGATGGTGGTTTCGAAAACAGGTTACAATGCCGAGAAATATTCACGGCATTTTTCTATTTAAAAGGAGAGCGTAATAAGCGAGAGCAATTGCTCGTAATAGGCCATCTGGCCAGGGGCGCGATTTCATCTAGCGTACTCGTCGTCGTACGAGTATTCGTGGCGAGACTGAATTATCACGCGAGCGTATATTGTTACGAGGAGAACGTTTAAAAATCAACACTAGATCGAACAGCACGGTTGACGATATAATACGATCAGAATTATCATTTACCGAGATCGACCTGATACGTACACACACTTCGTCACTTTAATCACATCGTCGTTTTTATCGATACCTTTTTAAAAATTTCATGCTCCATTCAAATTATTCAATGAGAAACATTAGACGTTCCGTTTAAAAAGATCGAGTTATTTGTTATTTCGATAAAACTAGAAGCAACTTTTTTGTTGGAACTGGTCTCTTTTTTCCTTCCGATGAATTATTTGAAATTGTCATGTTACCAGAATTATTCTTTCATGACACGGTGTAAGAATTAGCACGATACAACATGGAACGAATTAACCATATACAGAGAATTTATTGTATTATATATATATATAATGATATCTGTTGGAATAGATTATTTGTATATATATATATATTTAACACCTGCAGAACTTTCACGTTTAATTCTTTCATATTAATCATTTTCTGAGACAAAGATTTATTTTTAATAGTGTATTGTAATAGATGATATATAGATAGTGTTATATAACCACGTGAGGCGAGATAGTTTTAGAGTCAGCATTAATTATAATCCATGTACCTTTACTTATGCCCTATTAAATGAAATATTTTGTTATACGTCCATAATTATAATAAAACATGAATATTTCAATACGTTTCGTTTCGTTTAAATATTATATTTCAGTATAACGTATAATCGTGTATTTCAACAATTATATACTCGTATGTTAAAAAATGGATTAAAACACAGGTATATTAATTACATATGTACACAACAGTGTTCTAATTATTCTTGCTTGCTTATCAAAACAGCATGGTTGCCTTGGTATTTCGACGTATATTTCCCATTGTATCGTATTATTAATTAAACACATCAATCATTTCTCGCGAAAAAAGAAGAATCCGTACGCAATAAAACTTGTAATTAGCGTTTTGACATTTTTCTTGATACTGTTTTCTTTCTCTCTCTCTCTCTCTCGTGAAAAAAAAAACTACTTCTCGAGAGTCTGTTCTTCGCGATGCAAAGCGAATTAAACTGCAAAACTTTTCGAAAATCTCTCTCTCTCTCTCTCTCTCTCGAAGAATCCTTTCGTCAAACGCGATCCCTTTCAATAGATGCGAAGCAATTTTTACTTTTACCTCGTTACCCCTTTAAAAACACTAACGAGACTAATTGTAAGTGAGTTTTCCGCGCGGCAGCGTAAATTCGGTTACAAACTGCACGGTTAGAAACCAGCTTCGTGCCAACCTTCCGTGTAAAATCTGCATTTTCTGGCAAACTGAAATTCACAACTTGTTTGTTGTTATTCCCGATCCTGGAATCGTGCATTAACCGGCCAGGTGTGGCAATGACGCGTAACATTGGCGAGGGACGACGAAAGGAAGATCAGAGTCGACGAGGAAAAAAAGAAGAAGAAGAAGAAGAAGAAAGAGAGTGAAAAAATTCGGATCGCGAAAATTTCGCGATGCTTCGAAAAAAGTGATGTGGAACGTGGAGAAAACAAAAATAATAGTTTTTCCGTAACAATGCCCACGGCAAGCTGCCACGTATATTTTATTGTTGAATTCTCACGAATTTCGGGTTTACATCAACGAAACAAATGGATTTACGGTCGCTAGGATTCGATGGATGGAAAATGGATTCACGTCTTCGAGTATCATCCCATTTTGGAAGAGTTGACGCGAGTAGTAGCGAGTAATTGATCGAAGAAGAATTTGAAGCGAATTTTTTGGAAACGATAACACTGATAACTGTTCAATCGTGCTCGATCTTGGAAATTCGAATTTTATGGTTTTTTTTTTCATATATTGTTGTTATATATTACATCGTATAATTTATTGATCTAATTAAGTTTCGATCGAAGCTACGTGCGTTTAAGAGAGTTTTTAGTGAGAGGTATAATGGAAAGCAATTGTGAAGATCGTTGCAATATTTCTAATGGGGGGTAATCGTTGAACTTGTTTTTCGCCAATTTTGCCGCGAAATTATTCGATATGAGTAAATTGAATTGTCATTGAATGAATATTAATTTAAGCTTAAAGCACCGAATTTGAAATTAAAAGTAAGATAATAATCGAAATACGATTCTGAAAATTGCGATTCTTTAATTAAATATTACGAATATTGATTTTATTGTATATATATATAATTATATATATTTATTATATATATAAAATCGAAGTAATAAAAGTGTGAATCTTAATCGTGTGGCTACGTTTAAATGTTCTTAGAAAAATTCATCTTTTTTAAAAATCTAAATTAATTTTTAATAACTACGAATCCTTTTCAATTATTTTTATGTACAATATCCTAGTTTAAGCATTAAAAATATCTAATGTCTAATATTTAAATAACACTTATACAGATAATTATAATTAATAATGAAAATAAATAGGTACATGTAATTATGGATATGGTAGTTCTAATGTTAAATTTCACCCCTTAATGAACGTAGAATTATCTTTACTGATTAAAGGGTTTGCAAGAATAGAAAAGAGGGAATTCCACATTTTTTATCTTATTAAAAAAAAATATAATGTTTTATTTCATATAAAAAAAAGTAACCAGCTTCGAATAATAATGTTGCAAATAACAGAAATTTTTAATACCAATAGAAAAATAAAAGTATTAGGTATAAAACTGGAAGTATTCATTACAATGAATAATTTTCAGTCTTTTTTAATTTACTTACACAAAAATTCCTTGCATCGAAAGTTTTAAAATTTAAATATGTATTAGAGTATAATAATATGATGTTTTTATGATATAATATATGTTTTTTATTAATAAACTGAGAACAACTTGTTACCAAATAATTCAAATAATACATAGGATGAAGATGATTTCTCTCTATAAAATGAAATTTTCATGAATATAATTAAAAAGCTTAAATAAAGATTTCATTATTCAAATATCTTTTTCGAGTATTTTTACAATTTATAATGAACAAATTACATCTATTGCTACATTTCAATATTTCGATCATCATTACTTTATCTAAATAATTTAATTAAGTAATCAAGCATTCCTACTATTATCGTTACTACATCGAAAATCAAAAGTCGAATTCTATTATATTTTCTCGTAGACGAAACGAGATAACGAGATGGAAGTCGATGAGTCGACGAAACAATTTCGATTACGAAATAATCCAGTTGACGAATTAAGCTGGGAAACTTGGCTTGGACAAAACTATTCGTGCCCACGTTTGGTGTTTCAAGTTCTTCGAGATCGGTCGTAATAATAATCGCGTGAAAAGCTTCTCCCGTAGTTTGATTAAACTTCTCGATGCACGATGTAATTTATATTCATCAATGCGCGAGAGCAATTCTTAAAGCTTGTTATAATAACTTTTGCCGGTAAAAGTGAGGGAGACGGTGTTGGAAAGTTGAATTCGGGCTATTGCAGTTTTCAACTTGATAATTAATTATTACGAAACGACAAAAAGGTTGATCCTGCAGAAATTGAAGGGATATCTCGTTGTCTATGCATGAAAGAATAAGGCGAACGGGAAATTAAAGAAAACTTTATATTTTCGTCGAGCAGTTTTTGGAAAAGTAATAAGGGATGATAAAAAAACGAAGAAGAAGAAGAAATAATATTAAAAAAAAAATTGAAATTTTAATCATATAAAAATATTATATGAGAATTAAGAAATAATAAATCGCTATAATTACGTATTTTAAAATTTATTTCACATTCAAAAAAATAATTTTATCATTATAGAATTAATAATTTTTTGAAAGTTTAATAAAAAAAAATTATAAAAATCAATAAAAGTATATTTCAACCTATCACTCTTTTTAATAAATCACTTTTATAATCACTTTAAATATCACTTTATATATTTTTTATATCAAAATGTAGCCAATTTTTTTTTCAAAATTTCCTAACAATTCCAACAATTTCAAAATCTTCAAAAAATTTTTCCCTTCCCTCTTTGACATTAATTAATAAAATTGATAAAAAAATCCTCCCCCACCGATCTCTCCATTCGTGAAAAAATTTCATCGCTCGGTATTTACAAAAAAGGGGGAATCAAATCAAATTTTATTCTTTTGATCGAGAAAATCGTATGTAAACGCGAATATAGAACATTACAATTATCCCGATTAAGGTATTTCAATTCTCGCGTATTTCTAACCCGCGGAAAAAGAATCCGTGACTCTCGGCTCACCAAATGCAATTAACCGGCTTTTAAGACTTGAGAAAGACGCCGATGAGATAGAGAGGAAAATCTTAAAGCAATTAAGATTAATGTAATTAGCGCGAAAAGTGACTCCTGAGAGAGAACGAGAGAAATAGAGAGCCCTCTGTTCACCCCTGTAGTATCCGTGAAGAGGCACTCGTGTCGGCATGCCTCGCCCCCGCGATTGTAAACAGATATTTTCGCGTTATTTTCACGGTGGTGGGTCGGTGGGTGTGCGCGTGCGCCGTTCCGTTGGCGGCAAAGCCGTATGCTCGACCGGCGTACACCAGTCAGTTGACGTAGCCGCGTCGTCCACGTAACAATATGCTCCCAGTTCTCGCGATCACGGTTCTCTGCATCGCGACATGGGCATCCGCGTTGAACGATCCGCTCTCAGGTAAATCAATCACCTGGCCAATCAAAATACCTTGCACCCAATCGTTGTCATCCCCAGTGAGAACGGTATCTCGAAACACTTCTTCTTCTTTTTTTTTTTCTTTTTTTGGTTATCTTCTTCCATTTTCTTTCGTCGCGTTCTAACCTCGTTTATAAGCCTGACGTTTATAAGGCTGAGCTTGGCGCAAGTGGTTCACGAACGTTTGCAAATCACTCGAGCGGTTAACGGAGACGTGCAACGAGGATGAACGTAAACGCTCGTTTATGTTTGCCAGTGTTCCCAAGAAGTGTTGGTATATATATATATATGTATATATACATTTACGAAAGATACGTCTTTCGTGCGCGTTTGTACGAAGAGGCGAAGGAATATAAGCTTTTGTCTATGGATCAACGAAGAAATGGTTACAGAGGTCCCTCTTTGCTGACGTTTGGCAAAGATCAGGAATGCTTGACAAACATTTTCGAGTGTTTACGTGTAGTTTGCGCGGTTGATGAAACCTCGATTGTACTTGTCGAGTGTATTTGGTCGTAGTTTCTTGAGAAATTTCATTAAAGTTGGGACTTTCGAGTGTGAATTTCGTTGGAAGATGTAATTCGATGGTTTAGCAGATAATTTTATTAAGGATTTAATAACACGTACGTGATGGGACACTGATTATTAGATTGTGGATTTTTAGGCAATTGTAATCAATATGTATATATATATATATATTATTTATTGGAAATATCAGTGATTTTAAATTTTAATTTTTTATAACAATAATTTTTTCAAAGTTTAAAAAATTAGTAAAAACATAAAAATTCCAAATTAAAAGTTTACGATTCATTCACAACTTATTTAACAAAAAATACAAAGATCTTTTTCTCAGAAAAAATTTTGTAAATATTTATTTATACCATCATATTTTCACACATAATAATCTATTCACCAATATCAAACTTAATATCACATATTATATCGTTCGAAAGAGCCAAAAATTTATAGCTACGAAATTGTGTAGTAGCAAACTGCAAAAGCCTCAAGTGTTTTTCTAAAACTGTTGATTTACACATATGCATCTGCATATTGAATAAGTTTATAACATGATTGTATTCACGTTCGAAGATCGTAAAAAAGGATTCACAAATCGTGACAGAGTCAGAGTGTTTCAGTGTTTTATGTCAAATTTAACTGTGCAAAGTTTCAGTTTTATGTGTTAAAGTTCTTGGAAAGATATGGTGTGTCAAGTCATTTCACGTTCTCGAAAGACATATTTCGAACAATTTCAATGTGACAACGATCGTAAACTGACTGTTTGCTGGTCTGATTGCCGCGTAACAGGCGCAACTGTTAAGGTTTCTCTAAACGAAGGATACAGCAAAATATTGGCACTGATTATTACTACGTTTTATACAATTTACGTGTTGTATTGGACATAATATTATTATATTATTTGCCAATTAATTAATGTTAATTAGTGATAAACGAGAGTGTTATTATATACCTTGTTTATTAAATTAGCGATGGAATTGTAAGGCTTCTCGAAATTTTGTGAGAAAGTTTATATGGTGGTTTAATTAATTGGTTAAGATTCTGATTTTTTATTGTGAATCACCACGATAAAATTGATTATTTGTTAGAGAAGTGAAACAAAAAATTCTGCTATTGTTGATTATTCTCTGCTATCTTTGAATTTATTCAAATTTCAAAATGTTTTTGCATATTTAAAGTTTTATTGTCGAAGTTAAATTAGAATTGTATTCAGTAGAGATTTAAAAATAATTTAATTTATTTGTTTTAATGGAAGTGATAGAAAGTGATAAAATTTCAATTATTTTTTTCTAACGTTTTAAGATGCTAGGTATTTTAATTAAAAGTTTGTCAAATTTGAATATTCGATATTTTTTGTAAAAATGAACTGCTAGTTTCTTTTACTCAAACATGATTTTAGAATATTTTAAATAATAAGATTAATAAAGATTAATAATAAAGTTTCTGACAATTTTTTCTTATGCTGTTTCCTTTAAAATGGATTATAAACAATTTACAAGTCAAAGTTAGTGCTTAATATAAATTCAGTTTTAATATTGTAATAAAATAAAATATTGTATCAAATAAGTGTAATAATTTATATATTGATATTAATATTTCACAATTTTCAGATAATGATTCAAGTGTTTCAAGAAAGAGTTTAGGAAATTAAGAATTATTAACTTGTAAATGATAATGTAATATTTGATTTGGAATTGATTTAGAATTAAACAATTTATATCAAAACATAGGAGATGAATCATGCCATTATAGAATGCAATTATCTTTCAAAATTTTCTGTTTTCTTATTCCATGCAATTTCTTGACTCGACTGCAGTATTTGCGAGCATTTCTCTGTCTTCTCACTTCCGCAGATGATTAAACATGGGATTAAATCCTGGTCCCTTCATCTTTGGCGTGTAGTTCGTTACGTTTGCGAATCATTCATTCACGTAGAGAACGGCATCTTAGTGTTAGTTGCTAGATTTCGCGTCAATTTGTTTAGCATCATTCCATATTTATGCGTCTGGTCAAGCATTCACGTTTTAAAGCTTTTCAGTTTCATATTTTCCCAATTCAATGCCACAAGTATATTTTCAAATAAAAATTACTAAAGATGCTTTTTGAAAATATAATATAACACGATAAAAACAAAGTTTTTTTATTAAATTTAAACTTTCGATAAGATTCACTGTTGATCGAATTCTCGTTACGTGATTATTTATTAAGAAAAAAAAAAAAGAAAAATAATATATAATTCATGTGAAATTTAATTTTATAAATCTAAATTATTGTGAAAAGTTTTTCGAAATTTTGCAATTGTCAAAATTAAAAATTTTACGATAATTAAAACTGAGGCTAAAATATTGATCCTTTTATAGAATGAAAATAGTATTTTTATTTATTTATTGTGCCAAACATTAATTATAATTTGAAACATGGTAATTATTTTAACCAAAATTCATTTTTTTGATTCAAATTGTGACTCTTTTTTGTTGTATAGTTGATATATTCAAACTTATTCAATTTTCTGTGAAAATATAATTTTTAAATTATAGCATTAATATAAGAAATGAAAGATATGTTTTTTATTAAGTTTCTTAAGATGATATCATTGTATATATATATAATAAAGTACATATCAATTTAAATGACAAGCACAACAAACTCAATTAATTATAAACGTTAACTACTATATTACGTTTACATTTGTCTTCATTTGTAGGTTATCTTTATATTATTATCTATTATCGCGTTCTTATTCGTTTTAATGAAACATACACATCATCCACATGTCTTAAAATCGATATTCTCAGGTACTTATACATCAGGTTTTTACGTTATTTTAATTTCTTAATGTGCATATATTTCTAATTTGAATAATTTTGACACGCATGTCATGATAACAAAATAAAAAAATTGCAAAATTTTGAGAAGGAAATAATAAATAATTAAGCAATAGTGTGAAATGAATTTAATTCTACAAAATGTGTGATAAAGTTTTGTGTGAAAATTTATTCGTAGTATATTTATGTAGATAATAGGAATTCGATTAAGAACAGAATATTCTATTCAAGGGAATGTTAAAATAACTGAAAATTTAGTAAAAAAAAAAAGAAAAAAAATATAATCGATTCGAATCTCAGCTAAAAATGATTATTCATTTATTATTTTAATAACAGAAATTTTATTCTTGATAAATCAATTTTCACCCTAAAATTAGTAGTAGTTATGTATATATTTTCCAATCTTTTATTTGAAGAAATGTTATTATTTCATTTTTGTTACATGTATTATTCCTTAAATTTTTCCCTTTCTAACTTCCACTTCAATTTTTTTTATAAAAATAATTAATATTAATTATTTTTTATCTCTTGACAAGCGATTTCTTGACATTATTATCTCATTTTGTTCATCAATGAGAAATTTACGAAAGATGATCGCTTCGAATATCAAAAATTAAAAATAATAATTCTTCTCATTTCAAGAAATTTCTTCAGTTCTTCGTTCCATTCCAATTTTCTTCACCATCAAATATATTATATTCCAATGCCATTATTATCGCATTGTTCAAAAACTTATATCAAAATAATTTATTTATATTTAAAATAAAAAAATTCTCAGAAATTTTGCTTCAATTCACACACGATTTCTTGAAATTATCGTTATCGTTACAATCACACATCGTTCAAGAAATTAACGAATCGTCTTCGTCCAAATCCGGTCTCAAACCATCACCCTCCTAAAATACGTAAGGGGGTTTCCAGGAAAAAGAAAGACTTGGCCGTGACACGCGCGATAGAGCAGGAGGGAGGGCGATCGAAATCTTATCACCACGTTGGATCTCTTTAATCACCACCCCCGTTTTACTGCTTCGTGTATAGTTGCATAAAATGCGCGTCAGTCGCTCGCTACGTCAACGCCGTTGGATCGTGTTGTAAATTCACTCCCTCCATCGATCGTGGAAACGATCGTGCCACGCTCTCTAAATTATCTCTCGTTTTCCATTTTCGTCCCTCGTATTTCATTTAACGACCGCCCAATCTAAGAAAATTCGAATGCTCGGATAAACAATGCTGTTAAACTGGAACGATGCTAAAAGATTTTTATTGGATTAAATTTTTTCTGCGAACGAAATGCTTGGAATCCATCGAATCGTTTGGTCGTTGGTGATTCATTTTTGAATATCCGTGGGGATAAATTATGAATTGGTACGTTGAATGTTGTTGTACGATGTTTCGTACGAAGACAAATGTAGATAGAAATTTCGTTAACGTTCTCTGACTCGGAAATTGTGAAAGATATCGATATTTTTAGTTGGCACACGTAACAGAGTGTATAGAAGGAATTTTACGATTATCGAGATCAATATATATATATATATTAATTTCTAAATGCATTTCTAGAGCACTCCTATTTGGCAAAGTTTGTAGGATAGTTTACATTTTCTTCAAAATTGGAAAAAATGTAATATACGTGTAATAATA